GTGTGTGTGTGTGTGTGTGTGTGTGTGTGTGTGTGTGTGTGTGTGTGTGTGTGTGTGTTTAGGGTAGGCCGCTTTAAATTTTTCTTCCCAGCGTGGACAATATCACATACTGTCAGCAGAGGGCGCTAGAAAGCCATTGCAGTCTTTGTTGCCGCTCCAGACCCTGGAGAGGAGAGATTTTCTACACTGCATCCAGGGGTTTCCCTAATGTTGGCAGCCAATGAGCTGCAGATTTCTCTGTCTCTCCCTACCTGGCCTGCTTCTCCAGCTTTTGTTTCCGTCAGTGGTGGTATAATCTGGAAAGAAGTGCAGGCTGGATCCTCAGTCGAAATCATTGTGTCCACAAATACTCAAGACAGGCTGTGTGGGCCCAGGCACCCGTTAGAGTTCTCTTCCCATCCTTATTGTTGCTGTCCCAGTGTAGCTTAACAATTCTTCACGTTAAACTCTGCCTATGTTACCGCTCAGTTTCTCCTGACCTGAATTGATGATTACAGTTAGATACAATACTTTGTATACACTTGTAATTTCTCTTCTGTGAGTTTTCCAACTTTCTTTTTCTATGGGAGGCTTGCTGAGTTTTGTATGCACTTTGTAGACTATACAGAGTGTGTGTGTATGTGTATGTGTGTGTGTGTGTGTGTGTGTGTGTGTGTGTTGAGAGGGCCTTATTCTTGGGTCTGGAATTCACTACGTAATCCAAGCTGGCCTGAATTCATAGTAATCTTCTGGCCTAGGCTCAGAATGATTTTAGGAATACATAGTATCCAAGCTCCTTCAATTACTGAAATGAAGTCCAATCTTGCCTTAGTTCAACTCTGAACCACAGCCAACCTCATTTCAAAGAGGAAGCAGGCTATTTGGCATTCAGTTTTCCGCAGCTTCCAGGTCCTGAATACCAGAATGCAGAGGCAGACCGGAAGCTCATCCGATGATGCCCTCTCCAGCTCTGTTGAGGTGTGCTAGTCAGTGCAGGTGCCGTGCTTCTAGACTGTGGTCTCTGTTTTTGCTGCCTGTTTACTCTGAAGACACTTCAGGATAAAGGCCCTTTCGCTACTGAATCTGAAACAGAGAGGGGAGAGCAGGACAAACTGGGTACTTGGAGCTCATCCACTGAACCTACAGGAGGATAAAATGCCCCGTGTACGCTATTGACTTACTTCGCCATTATTCTCTCGATCTCCCTTTTCTCTTCTTCATCTAATCTCTGGAGAATGGATTCCAAGAAAGAAAAGTGGAAATTAATGTACTGCGCCACCTGAAAAGGGAAAGAGAGAAGGCTGGATGAGAGAAGAGCCGAGCCAGAGGGAGACGCGCACGTGCACACACACACACACACACACACACACACACACACACACACACGAAGGCTATGGGCAGAGGGAAACGCGCGCACGGAGGCCAAGGGCAGAGGGAGACGCGCGCGCACAGGGGCTATCGGCGTCCATACATCACTGCTAATTTCTTCTGTGTCTTTATCCATGAGGAAGATCCGAGCGTTGCTTTTGGATGGGCCTTGGAGAAGCCTCTGCAGCAGTGGGACATCACTCTTCTTTAGTTTTCTCTGCTCTGCAGAGGAAAAGGGATGCAGCGTAGTAAGAGTTAAAATTCTAGAAAAAGAAAGGAAGGTAATTTTGTCTCTTGGTTTTCCTTTGGTTTGTTTTGGAAGCAGCAGGAATTGAGAACTCACTCAAAAATAAATAAATAAAAAGCAGGAGAGTCATGCCCCACTATCCATGACGGATATGTTCCCAGACCTCAGTGAATACACGTGATGCTGTAGATGCTATATAGTACTATACATCTGTTTTTCTATACATATATATCTACGATAATGTTAACTTATAAATTAGTTGTAGGAACAATTACAGAAACCATATATATTCTAATGAAACTTCAGTTTGAGGCCATTACCAACAGGAAAGGAAAAGGCATTTGAAGACAGAGTACAGCCCCTAGATAGTTGACACTAAGTGACAAGTGGGGAGGCTGTGCCTACAGAGTGGGTACCATGGACACATGGAGGCTTCATGGAAGGGCAGGGAAGGGCAGCATAAGAGTCTATCACTATACTCTGAGGGCACACAGCTTCAAGCTTGTTGGATTGTTATATCTGGAAAAATTCATTCAATATCCTTGGACTATGGTTGACCATGGCTAGCTTCAACCATGCAAAGCGAAACTGTAGATAGGGTTAGACTATTGATTAAAATTAAATATGAAGACCATTTCAAGAACTCCAAATGAACCTCTTCCATTCAATATACGGCCTAACTCAGCAGCTCAAATAATTCTACCTTTAGTGAGGTCACTTAGACAAAACTTCAGTCCTACCGAGGGACCAACATGGCTCAGTTCTTCACAGTTTGCCTTCTTCCCTTCGTTCATCCTCTCAGCTCACTTAAAATAAAGCCACTTTACAGTTGTTCTTAATTCTTCCTGTTTTTCTACCTCACATTTCATTCTCGGGTATTCCAAGAACTAAACTACAAATGCAGCATTAGTAAGATTAATTCTTTTCATTATTTGAAGGTTTCATCCATCCAGTCATGAAAATGAGACAAAAGAAATTTCGTGTATTCTCAGAATTTCAAATTTCAAACATTACCATAAATGCCTCACCACAAAAGTACTGGCGTTTTGTCAGCGTGGTGTCTCATCTGGGATTTCATTTTAACAGAGGGAAGCACAGAGACAGCCCCCAGTGCCCTCCGCTTCATCTTTCCTTCCCATCTCCCTGCTTCTCACTGCCTTTCTCAGAAGAGTCAAATCTGTTTCCCATCGCTGGATTCGGTTTCTTCCCAGCTCCATTTCAATCCAGCGCGTGCTGCTGTCATCCCTCTGACACTTCTGAAGCAACAGGAAGCTCTTGGGATCCTGTTCCTCTCCTCAGCACAGCAGGATCCTCTTCTGACCTCTCCATCGAATGCCAGCTTCGTGTCCCACCCGCAGTGCCTTCCATAGTTTACACCCCCAAGTTCTTGCTTCACGATCATCTGGAGCCATTACTGGAAACATAACCCCCCACCAAGCTCTGCACACGGTTGACCAAGAGAGCTCATTCTCTGACAATGTGTCAGACTCGGTGTCAAATAGGGAAGGGTAAAAGAACAAGGTCAGAGAGGAGTGGCAGGTAGTGAGGACCAAAGCTAGGGCAAGGAGGGGAAGGGAAAAAGCCAGGAGCCCAGTCCCTCCTGAAGAGCCCTCCAGGGATGGATTCCAGAAGTTCTGATCTCCACTCAGACAACATCTGGCAAACAAGCAGAGTCCTTTGTATTCTAAACTCGGTGGACATATTTCTGCTTGGATTATCTTTGGAAATGGAGCAGATACATGGCATTCTAGTACCATTGCTCACAATGGGCGTGGGGCTCAATGGTTCAATGTGTGCTTAGCTTGCACCAAAACTCTGGAATTAACAACAATTATAATGAACCCTTGAACCCTTTCCTGCCTCTCTTTTTTTCTGTATTCTGTGTCTTTCTTTCTCTCTTTCTTTCTTTCTTTCTTTCTTTCTTTCTTTCTTTCTTTCTTTCTTTCTTCCTTTTTCTTCCTTCCTTCCCTCCCTCCCTCCCTTGTTTCTTTCTTTCTTCCTTCCCTCCCTCCCTTCCCCCTCCTTCCTTCCTTCCTTCCTTTCTTTCTTCATTTCTTTCTTTCTTTCTTTTTTTCTTTCACAGAATCAAGCACTCTTCTGTCTGTCTTCTTTATGAACTGAAAACGAATGAGCTGGAGCCAGGTACAAACAGGGACTAAATTTTCTTACCTCCTGTTCCAAAAATAATGTAAAGAGCAAAATCCCGAGGGCTATTCTCAATCTGTCAATGGAAAAAATGAATAAATGAACTGTTTCAGATGATGTTAGAGCCCGCAGTGTTCCTCCTGCCCCTTCCCTGTCAGACATGTCCTCTTAGGCTCCTGCAGGGATCATGCGTATTCCCAGGCTTTGCTGCTCTGAGGAAAACAGCCACCAGAATTGAACAGATGATGCAGGTTCATAGCTCATGGCTTTTTTTTTTTTTTCAGAAGAGGGCATTTATGTGACTCCATTGGCTTACATGCATGCAAGGGACAGCTCAGGTTAGTGACAAGGATTACCTTAAACTTTTGGAGAAGTTGCTTTATTACTTCTTCAGTTCTCATGGTGCTGTTTGTTCTGACCTTGGTTTCTGATCCGAAGGTTGGGGTGAAAATGGATGTCTAAAGGAGTAACAACAAAACCACAGGATTCGTCATGACTCTACCAAACAACAGCGGGCAGTTTCCTGAACCTGAAATGGATTACGGAATCCTGAGAAGTGATGCTATCACTCCTGATGATGTCACAGAGTTCTCAAATAAACACAGATTTAATAATAATTATTGCACCAATGATAATACTAAACATTGTATAAAACTATTCTAAGCCCTTCATAAGTATTATTAATTGACTTAATTCTTGTAAAAGCAATAAAAATTAATTTTAAGCTATATGATATAAATGTCCTATGTTTGGGGGCTGAGAGATGACGGGTCACTGGTGAGAGTACTTGCTACTCTTGCAGAGGACTTTTAAGTGTTTGTCAAATGAATGAAGACACAAGTGACTGTTAAAAATCCATGGCATAAAAAATCTTTGAATTCTGGGAAACTAATGATATAGGTGAAATGTCTTACAAGCATTACAGAAAAGCATGTATGAATCTTACACATCTTAGCAAAAAAATCAGAATGGAAATTTTATCTAAACTATAGCTACACTTGTACAAACACTTTGCATGTAAGTACAAGATCTTTAGGACAGGACAAAAAACGTGACACTTGATTTAGTGAATAGACAGTTTGAATGTCTTTAAACCCATCTTTGTGGGACCCTTTATATGATTCGGATGTTGTTTGTTGGTTTTCCTGGTTAAGTTTTGTACCCGCACTTCAAGAAGGTCATCTCTGTGTTTCAAAGGGCAGTTCGGCACCAGCGGGGGGGTGGGGGGTCACCCGTCACATTGGTTAATAGTGTGGGGTTTGGAGGGAGGCAAACAGGGGTTCCAGTTCAGAGTTATTGCTGAAAGCATGTGACTCAAGAGAAATCGCTTGATGATTGCGAATGTTGATTATATGTAAATAAGAAAGACATAATGATATTGGCCTTCATGGGAGAGGTTTTGGGATTAATGAGACAATTTATTTAAAATATGTTCAAAGTTAGGTGTATATGTCTATAATCTTAGCCTTGGGAGGCAGGAGCAGGAGCAGGAGGCTAAGTTAGAGGCCACCCTGCGTTTTAGAGCAAGTACCTGGCTAGCAGGGACTACTTAATTCATTTATTTATTTTTATTTAATTTTTTTCATACAATATATTTTGATCATGTTTTCCCCGCTCCCAATTCTTCCCAGATCTTCTCACCTCCCTAGCTGCTCAACTCTATGTATAAGCCCTTTCTTTCTCATTCTCTCTCGAATAACAGAAAAAAAAAAAACCTGGAAAAATGAAAAGTCAAAACAACAACAACAACAACAACAAAAACCCAATAAGACAAAAAAAATGCCCAAACAAAACAAAAGAGAGTAAAAAGCCCACCCCTCAAAATAACTGGGGGGCTGGAGAGATGGCTCCACAGTTAAGAGCACTGGCTGCTCTTCCAGGGGACCCGGGTTCAATTCCCAGCACCCACAGAGCAGCTCACAACTGTCTGGAACTCCAGTTCCAGGGGATCTGGCACCCTCATACATCAGACAGACAGACAGACAGGTAGGCAAAACACTAATGCATATTAAAAAAAAAAATGGAGTTCATTTTGTGTTGGCTGACGACTCCTGGGCATGGGGCCTGCCCTGGAGTGTGTTGACACAGTGACACTCCATCGGAGAAAATGGATTTCCCTTGGCCAGCTGGTATCAGTTGCAAACAGCTTCTTGGTTAGGCATGGGACCCTCCGTACTTCTCCCACTTTCAGTACTGGGACCCCAGCGGCCTTGAATCTGTGCAGGTACTATGCAGGCTACCTAACTTAAATCTGTGCTTCAAAGCATCTACATGAAGAAGAGAAGAAGGTCGTGTTTAAACTTAGTTTACAGTTCCTACAGGGAAAGACTGGTGAGCGTTAGGCATCTGCTGACAGTGCTCTTGTTATTGGTTTAAATCCTAAGTTAAAATAAGTAGTATTTTTTAGTGCAATGGTCAGTGTTATTCCGCATAAATGGGACCGTAACTCACCTCGTGGTTATAGACGTGTCCGTTGATAGAGGCTCTATGACTCTGTCTGTCTTTTCTGTACGCCATGGGAGCCTTCGTCCTTCTTCTCACCAAAGCTGCTTCACTCATGGTCCTGTAGAGCAGTGGGGAATCCGGCTCTTCCTCTGCATATGGCTTCAGAGTGCTGTGATAAGATAAATAGTCTGGGAAGAATAAAGATCACAAGCCCATATCATTCAGCTGCCTATTGTCTTCCATCGTAGGGACCCTGCTTTGCCTTTACTAACAAGGAGGACTGCCATTTCCTGGGTGTTTGAGAGCACTGTGCTCACTGCTTGGCTTATACTGACTTATTAGGTGCTGCGTGAGATTGGTCAAGCAGCAAATGCTGCTAGTGAGTTGTGTCTCATAGGGTTTACGTGGTCACATGATTGGTGTTTCCACTCTAATCTCTTTTTATTGGGGGTGTAAATTTAGCACCATTTTAGCATGGAAGACCTGGAAAAACCCGTTTTCCTGTCAGTCTGGACTCAGACAGGTAAGATAAAAACATGGTGAGTTGAGGAGCATTTATATGAATATACTACTTCCAAGTGATGGACCAGGCCTGCATGTTGTGTCCCGACATCAAGTTTATCAGATCTTTCCTAAGAAGACAGATCTTGGAACCTTAGCCTTTAGCGTCATGGAAGCATCCTTGAGAAGCCATCCTCATGGAATACTGAGACTTAAGAGAATTTCTTCCGAAGTTTCCTGAAAGTAAATATGCAGCAATATGCTTTGGGCTAGTGGCTGCTGGTGATGTGCCACACGAGCACCGCGGTGACGTAAGTTACCTCCTGAGCAACTCAGTGACCACACGAGCAGCGCGGTGACGTAAGTTACCACCTGAGCAACTCAGTGACCACACGAGCAGCGCAGTGACGTAAGTTACCACCTGAGCAACTCAGTGACCACACGAGCAGCGCAGTGACGCAAGTTGCAAGGCCCTTGGGAATGCTTAAGAAGTGCATATATATGAGTTCGTAAGGTAGCCCTGTGTATGAACTAAACATTTGGGAGTCATGTTTTATGTTGTTAAAAAATATACCATATTGCTAACACTTTGGTACTGACCTTCTGGGGAATGCCTTCCTTCAGACAGCAAGTCTTGGCTCCCGTCCAGCTCACTGATACGATAAAGGTCATCAAACTCTCCCCAGCGTGTCATCCTCCTGCAAAGTAACAGGTCCTGTCACTGAGACTAACTCCATGTGATGGTCTCAGATTTACGATGTTGATACTACAGCTGTGGGCCTCTGTAGGTAGGTGTGTTATCCAAATCTAAAACAACTTTATCATGTTACAAAGATTACATTCCTACCATAGTGATAAGCATGTTTTAAACACACTCATATATTTTTGGAGCAAAATAATTCACTGATATACTGAAATGCAAAATTTATGTAGATTCTGTAAAAGGTATGCTCAGACAGGCTTGGTGGAAACCAATGTGAGCCACTGATACACAGATATCATAAGGTTTTAGGAAAGTTTATGTTTAGGAAAAAATGTCATTAATACTCATAAATCAAGTACCCATAGCATCAAAATAAATACATAAAATGATTCTAACATGATAAGATATGGTGCTTATCTTTGGGCCTAAACTGCTTTGAAAAATACAATTTACAAAATGGAAATGTATGAAAAAATTCTTTATTAGAAAATTATTATCTCGTGTAGGATGTTAGCAAACTTCAAAACATTCTAGTTCCAGAATATAAACTGTTTATTTTACATCAGACTAACATTCCCTTTTATTTTATTTATCTGGCCTTAAACAAGTTAGTTATGCATCCTTTTCTGGCCTCAGTGTCCTCACTTATAAAATGGGGATAATAACAGTACGACGTAGGATAGAACTGTTGGCAGGATTTTAATGTGTTAATTTATGCAATATCCTTGAAACAATACCTACACATAGTTAAGCACTCACTAGCTATCAAAAATATTATCAGAATAATCTCACCTTCAGTGACACCATCGTTACCACCACCATCACCACCATCATTACCATCACCACTACCATTACCACCATTACCATCTTCATCATCATCATCACCATCATCACCACCACCACCACCATCATCATCTTCATCATCATCACCATTATCATCACCACCATTCACTATCTTCATCACTGTCACCACCACCACCACCATCATCATCACCATCTTCACTGCAGTCACCATCATCACCACCACCACCACCATCATTACCACCATCATCATCATCATCACCACCACCATCTTCACTGCAGTCACCACTGTCTGAATTTATTTCATGATGGATCCAGTGGATCATGTGGATCCAGCACAATTTGGGGTCCAGTGCATTTCGGGACCTCTCAAGGCAAATGGACACTATTATTTGCAGGAATATTTTTTTGTCCTGCATTATTGTCCATAAAATCTTTTATAGTATGAACCCCAAGTATTTCCACCTGGGGTGTCTGTGACCTTAACTCTACCCAAATGTCCCTGACTGGCGGTTTGAATGATCACGTATTTGAAGACCTGGTCCGCTATTGGTTTGGGGAAGTTTGGGCAAGTGTAGGAAGTTGAGTCTTGCTGGAGGAAGACGATCACTGAGTAAGATTTGAGGATTTGTAGCCTTATGCTGCTTTGTGTGCCCTCCCTCCCTCCCTCCCTCCCTCTCTCCCTTTCTTCCTCCCTCCTCCCCCCTCTCTGCTACCTATGTGTACACGACAATGTGATCAGTCAGCTTTCTGTTCCCGTAGTCATGTTATACCTTCCTTGCCATGATGGGCCCTATCCTTCTGGAAACAAAAGCCCAAACGAGCTTTTTCTTCTTTAACTTGCTTTAGGTCATGACACGTTATCACAGCAATGGGAAAATAGTCAACACACCGACGGAAAAGTTCTTATAAACATAGACAGCACTGGCAAAGCAAAGCTATCGCTTTCCTCTTGACCTTGGAATTCTCTTGAAATCTTTATAACTCATATTCAATTTACAACGCCCATAAGAAGTAGATAATGTGATCATAATGTATTTGTCAATAAAATTTTGAGCAAACTCTACTATGTGGAAATATTGTCAGTCAAAATATATGTCACAAAGAGGAGGAATTATTTACATTAGCAGTCCGGGTGTCCACCCACACTCTATTCATATGGCACATAAAATTAAACATCACCAACATACAGCTTATTAGCAGTCTAAAGAAGTCATGCTTGAACATTGTTTAAGAGGGGTGGCAATGGGAACTGGATACCGATGAGAAGTTAAAACGAAAAGGGAAAGCGACCAGGTGCTGTTTCCAACAGGGGAACCAGAAGTTCTACAAATAATGACCACTTATAACTCCCATAGCTGGTCAGTGACTTTGGAAAATGTGAGTCACCCCTTTAGTTTTCTCAGCTTGTTTCTATTTTATTTTATTCTTTTTAAGCAATCTTTTTTTTAATTTTACATACCAATCCCAGTTCCTTCTTTGTCCCCTCCTCCAGCTCCCCCTCCTTCCTCTCACCCCACCTCCCAAACACTCCTCAGAGGGGTGGGGCCTCGCATGGGAGTCAGTCCTTAAATTTTGCAGTAATAGGGGTGCCACGTCAATACAGGGACTGAAAACCAGCTCAATGTATTCATTTTGCCTCTTTTCTTCATGCCACTCATTGCCCAAGTCAAAAGCTCCTATCTCACAGTTGGGGGCTGTGTAATTCAAGAATTCCATGTGCTGTGCATATGACCAAACATATGGGCAGTCGTCCACACTCTTCAAGCAAGAACCGGTTAGAACTTTAACATCAAGCAGCTGAACATGTCCAAACATGGAACAGTTTGTGTTGCTCTGACCCAACACCAGGAAGTGTACCAGGGGCAAATCTAAACACTGGAGAGGGGTTGTAATGTTTTGCAAAATAAAGTGGAGGTAGAAATTTGGTAGGCAAATAGAATGCAGCCACTTCCCTATCTATAGCATAAGAAAAAACCATTATTGATGCAAATCAAATATGCACCTGTTCACAACTTGCTCTTTATTTCCTTCTGCCATGACTTGTCTAAAATATGCCAATACTGACTTTAGAAAGAATTAAAATAGAAGCGAAAACCAGCAAAAGCAAAAGTAACCCCAAAGAGCCACCTCTTCTCTGTTTCATTTTAAACACATAGTTTCTTTCTGTAAAGAAACATTTGATTGAGATATGAGAGATCAAAGTCTTCCTATAAAGTCATTTCCATACGCACAGTGGTCAGAGCTCAAATTGATTTATTTTTAAGCCTCCACCATTCCTATTTGGCTTGTACTTTCTCAGTGTGACTCATTTCTTGTATGATTAAAACAAGCCAACATGGCAAGAGTGGCTATGGACAGATACCCAATTGGAGTCCTTGCAGCTGAGCACACATTGTCCATGTCCTTCACTGTCCACTAACCCACGGGGAACAGCAAACCTGAGCAGTGGGATTAAGTTCTGTCCATAGACACAACAGTATGGGAAAAGAAAAATGAGAGGTTTGGAATAAGGAAACAGTCAGATTCTTTGCACAATTTAATTGAAGCACATAATTAAATGAGTCACCTGAAAGGAGGTGACCAAGGGAGGGGACCTGAGATGAACTGAAGCCAGGGAACAGTAACGAGGGTGTCTGTGTATCATCAGAATCAGAGACTGGGCAGAGGTGTTCCATCTTCCTGAGCCTTCCTGCCTGAATGCTCAGCTGATTGCACCAGGCTCTCTTGACTAATCAATTGCAACCAAAGAATGCCATCATGTTCATGTGTGTGTGTGTGTGTGTGTGTGTGTGTGAAGAAAGAGACTGAGAGAGACAGAGAGACAGAGACAGTCTGCATTGTATACATAAGGGGTGGGATCTCTTCCTGCTAATTCTTACTCACTAGAAAAATATGGTTCACCACACAAGCCTTCTTACAATGTTCTAGAAAGTCTTGTTTCTATGGTAAAGGACAAGTCAGGACCCACAGTATTATAGTACATGTCTGGTTACTACGGTGAATCACAGGCTTTCACAGTTGTTCAGCTGTCCTTCCTCAATTTTAAATAATGAGAAACAATGTCTTGCTTCCAGGCTGTTAAGACTTGAACGGGAAACGTACTCACTCTGTAGACTCAAGTGTTTGAACACTTGCACCTCATCTGGTAGTATTGTCTGGGGAGGTTGTGAAGTCATTGAGGTTGTGACCTAGCTTCCAGAAGTGTCTTCCTGGGAGATAGACCTTAAAGACAACTTGATCAGAGCTCCCTACCACCTGCTTTGCTGAGATATGAACCAACTGTGGCCCAAGTTCCAACTGCTAAGGAAGGAGTCCCTTCAGCTGCCATGCCTTCCCTACCAGGATGGTTCACACATCAGTAACTGTAAGCCCAAATAACCCTCCCCTCCTTTATGCAACTTCTGCCATTTTTGGCTATGGAGAAAAGGGCTCCTAACGTACCAGCAATGTTCTCAGGGAAAACGGGCTCCGCAGAAGACGCAGCGTGAAGGGGACACTTCACAGTCCACTGCAGCATATAAAAGAGCACCATCCTAACCACCCTGTCACCCCAACTCCTAAGCTCACCCCCAATTCCAGTATTTTTAATTCAAAACTAGTATTTTATATTTGAGAAATTAAAAGGCATCTTTGAATAGCTATTAAAATAATAGTTTCGCATGCCAGTAGAAGTGCCTTCTACCTCCTTGACATATCACTCTAATGTCTCAATCTTAGGCAGTTTTAATGAACCAAAAGGGATGAAAATACAGCACAAGGTGTTGGCTTCCTAGAGAACTTTGCCATGAGTTCTTAGAAAGTGTAACATATGATCGCTAATTTTGTGGGTTTTTATCATGAATAGTTTAAAAAAAAAAAAAAGCAAGGCTTGATCGCTTTAAATGCTGCTTCCAGTCATTTGAGTGGTCGGCCTTGTCAGTCATCTTGTATCTCTGGGATGCTGGTCGGCATTCGCTGCCTGAGGCTGTGGTTCCATTTGTGCTCACAAGCACCATGTCCTGTGCCCACCCGCAGCCCTTTGTGTGGATGGGAGAGCGGCGAGGGGGCGAGGGGAGGCAGATGGGGTGACAATTTATTCGATTCATTTGATCTTATTCCCCCTCACCCACGCTTCCTTTCTCCATCTATCATATTTCCATATCCCTCCTTCTCCTGCCCCTCTACCCCCCTCTCACTCCTCTCTCTTTTCTTCCCTCCTTTCTTCCTCTTGGTGCTGGGCACTGGGATGCAAACACAGTTCAAGATGCATTCCTAGAAACTCACACAGGAGGTGAAGGACAAGATGTGTGAAGTCCAACGGACTGCATGCCCTGGAGGTGCCAAAGAAAACCTGTCAGTGTGCTCAGTAGGGACTGAGGGATCAGGAAAAGGCTTTGAGGGGGTGAGTCAGGTAACTGGCTATCGATGAGCAGGCTGGCTTCCGGGCAGGCAGAGTGAGGAAAATAAGAAACTACACTATGTGTTTAGGGTATTGCAACATGCTGAGCCTTGTTCAAGAATGAGGTTCAAGAAGTGTTGGAGAGGTAAAATCATGGTGGGCCATGGGTACATCCTCCAAAGTGGTACCTAATGTTCCTTAAGTGCTGCCAAAGATCAGACCACGCAAATGGACCATTTTGGTAGCTGTCTCTCCATTTTCTCCTCTGGTAGAACCCTAACTCCTCCAGTAATGGGTGGGAGGACAGGAGGTATGAAGAGAATTGTAGTGGTCCCAGTGTTTCAGGAGGGAGGGGAGGTGGGAATGAAAGACAAAGAAGAAAGGAAGCCAAGTCATTTTATGATAACTAGAATAAATATTAATTTTCAAGAAGAATTAGAAAGGATAATGACAGAACGCCACCCAAGTCAGACATCCGAGGTATAGTTGCATCCACCCACCAGGGAACTGTTTATGCAATGCACTTCAAACGCACTTTGCTGTGCCCAGCTAAACAGCTCTGCTTGTTCTGAACATGAGCAGAATCCAGTCTCCTCTCGAGAAAACAAAAAGAATGCTTTGTTCTCAGGAGTGGACAAATTTAAGCTTTCTTCCCTGTTTTTGATGGTCAGGTCGTGACTATTCAAATCTTACCTTTCTATCTTGTTTCTTCCAGTGAGCAGATGCAGTCTTCTGGGAGAAGCACTGGGGCAGAAGTGCCCATGAGCCTAGGCTCTGTAGCCCGAGGGACAGCTCCTTTGGTGCTGCCAGGCGGTTAACTAGGGATCGTGCATAAATTCACCTAACCTCAGAGACACAGTCTCCAAATATCTAGTTAATGGCAATGTATGAGACTGTCTATAAGCATTCATGCACAACTATAAGGAACCTACGCTAAGAGCACAGACCACGAGGCAGACAGCGAGGCCCTCTAAGGAATTACAAGGGAGGACAGCTTACCCTTTGCTGGAAAATGTTTCTGTTGACTTCAACAGATCAAAAGAAGAGATTTGCTTCTCATCTTGTATTTTCAGCTGTATGGGTCGTTTCACTCCCCAGAAAATGTCCAGCATCCCTTCAACAACCAGTTGTCCGTCTTCAGTCTAAGGAAGAAGCATTATCCACAGTCATTGTCTTTGCATCATTTATAGAAAATTAAATGCTTTAACTGAAGATGTAGAAAGCAAGTCTGTAGGAGGTATTTTTAGGTTTAAAATCCCCCAGGATGGATTATTTGACTTCTCAGCCTATCTGTATCACAATTCTAATTTGGAAATAGCCATTTATTTTTAAAACAGTATACCTGGCAAAATAAGCCAGTGTCTCTGGCACGTCCACCAAAGGGCACAGAGCATTAAAGGCTTTCTGATCTCTGGCCCTTGGATTAAGTGGCATTATATTGCTTTAGTTCCATTTAATTTAAAAGGTATAGCAGATTTAAAAACTATACTGAATTAGAAATCAGAAGAGTTACTAAGAGCCTTAGTTGTTTGAATTAGCAGAAATAATTTAAGTCACAAAATTATGCAGAACAAAAGAAAGACTGCTTACCAGGGGAAGGTGGTGGCAAACACCTTTAAAATCAGCAACCAAGAGGGGAGCCAGAGACATCATGCTCTGACCTCCTCATGTGTGAACATGGTACATATGCTTACATACTTGCATACTCATGTGCATGCAATACACACACACACACAATTAAGAACGTATTTGTGAAAAAATCATAATTTCTGAAGTACTGTTTCAAATGGAAATAGTATATGTAACAAAAGTAAATGTGTAAGTGAAGAAAAATTAGCAAATGGATATGATTTATTTTGCAAATACCTAAAGAAATGTGAAAAACAAAGCAATTCTCATACAATTTATTTTCAAACTCATCTTTTCTTCTATGTTTAGCTATCTTTTTATTAAGCGATATATTATTGTTATAGAAACATTGAGAGTATAAAAACTAGAAAGTTATAAAAGTCATTGGTTATTGTGAAAAGCCAACTTCTAGGCAATTTAAATTGCTGAACTATTTCTCTAACATTTTAATAATAACATTTAAAACTGTTGACATTATGAGATAGTATACATTGGCTGGAACTGAACTTATTCATTTTAATGAACAAATCCAACTCGACCTTACAGATCCAGCATGACTTGTTATAATAACAGCACATTGGTGGATACAAGTGTACCATCACATTCTCTCATGGCAAATGGTGTCACAGTGCACACTTTTCCACACATGATTCTTTGAATGTCAGAAAATAGTGGACTTATTTCATAACATTATCCATTATTGAGATATACTCCATTTTAAAACAGGAAGCAAGTGTGCCCGTTTTTTGCATACTTTCCTGCACCAAAAATGCTCAGAAACCTGCAGGCATGTCAGAACTACTATTTTGTAAATTAGTCTAAACTTGAAAAATCAGAATAAATTAGAGATTTACCTGCTTCTTTAGACCACATGTGTCCCTAGGTTCTAGACTCCAGCTCACTCTGATTCAGCTACATGCTTAGAGAATCTGTTTCCTGTGAATCAAGCTGTTGCATTTCTTTAGTGGGCTTACCTGTCCATACAAAATATGCAGATTTTTCTGGTTTTCATAGAAAACATTATAGGCCTCCAGTAAAGAATTAAGTTGCTCCCTAAGAAAAGAAATAAATAAATAAATTCAGTTACAATCAACCTTAAGCCCTAGATTGTAAAACACAATAATAGTACTTTTACTTCATAAAAATGTGAGATGAGAAAAACACTTCTGAGGAATTGATATCATTCTGCCATTTTAATTTAAGGTACGCCAAGGGAATGAGAAGCACTCTTAGAACATGAAGACATTTTGATATGCTAACTCACAAATAAAATGTATGTGGCAGGGGATGCCAGAGGGCAACGAAAAACATGTGTGTGGCTGGAGAGCTCGGTCAAAGGACACAGCCACGATGTGAACACGTTTACAGTTCTGCTTGTATCAGTGGCTTAACTAATGTTCACTGCTCTAGAGGAAGCTCACTCAGATGACAGGTAGACGCTGTGGGGACACTGGTTCCTGCCATGTCTCTGCCCTTCCAGAGGGCAGTCTGTACATCTGGAGAGGCTTACCACCTCATCTAGAATACAGAAATGGCCTCCTACAAGGCTTCCTATGTCTACTGTGCATTCTTGACAGCAGGAATTATTTTAATATGAACCATTAAAATAATTGACCAATAACTTGCCATCTTTCTCCTTTGCTCAAAATTCCTCAATGTCTTCTCAGAATAGGATTCAACATCCCATTGTCATGGTGACTTGAGAGACTAGGTTTGGCTTAGTCTTCTGTTAGCTCATCTATCTCCTTCCCAATCGCTCTTCCCCACACTTTCTGGATGTCTCTTGAATATTCTGGGTCTTAAGGCTTTGAACTTGCTGATTGCTCCACTAGAATGCCCTCTGCCCCCATCACACCGCTAGCTCAATCGTTCATCTTCTTCAAACATTTCATCAAAAGCCACCTGTGTGGACTGGAGAGAGGGCTCAGTGGTCAAGAGCACTGCCTGCTCTCCAGAGGACCTCGGTTCTTTCTCAGCACTGACATGTTGGCTAACAACTGTTCATTACACCAGATCCAGAGGACCCAATACCCTCTTCCGCAGCTTCCACAGACAATTCATGCACCTGGTGCACAGACATACACGCACGAAAAACACACATACACATAAAATAAAAGCAAAATCTTCCACCCATTTTTTAAAAAGCCACCTATGTAAGGAAGCTTTCTTGACCACCCATTCTAAATCTTCGCCTCTCCCAACATTTCATATCTAGCATTCTTCCTTCACGTCCACCTCTGAGGTATCCTCTAATGCTCTATGAATTTGATTTGCTGATTTTACTCCTGTCCTCCCTCCCTCCCTTTCTCCTCTTTCTTTGTTTTTCTGGAACAAGGTCTCTAATTCGGTTTGTAGACCAGAAGCCACCTGCTTCTGCTTCTAGAGCGCTGGGATTAAGGGCATGAGCCATAATGTCCTGCTATAAATTTGACTTTTCAATTGTGTGCTCTGTCTTTTCCACCAGAATGAAGCTCCTTGAGGGAGGGGACGGTTAGAAGTTTTGTTCAGATTTTCTGTATCCCTGTGTCTCAGTCGGGGTTTCTATCGCTTTGACAAAACACCATGACCAAAAAGCAAGTTGCGGAGAAAAGGAGTTGTTTGGCTTATACTTCCACATTGCTGTTCTTCTCTAAGGAAGTCAGGACAGGAACTCAAGCAGGGCAGAGTCCTGGAGGCAGGTGCAGAGGCCACGGAGGGGTGCTGCTTACTTCTTATAGCTCACTCACTCTGCTTTCTTATAGAGCCCAGGGCCACCAGCAACCCCGGGATGGCTCCACCACAAGAGGCTGGCCCTCCCCGTCGATCACTAATTGAGAAAATGCCTTAAGCTGGATCTTATGGAAACATTTCTTCAACTGAGGCTCCTTCCTCTCTGATGACTCTAGCTTGTGTTGAGCTGACACAAAACCAGCCAGGACACTCTGGAAGTATTGGTGCAGAGTAGGCACCCATAATAAAATAAATTTTGGTTCAGTAAAATTATCAGAATCTTCTCTTCTTAAGAAAACCAACAGTAGCAAGATAAAGGAGATAATGTTTGTTTAAAGTAAATCTATTTATCAAAAACTGTTCTATATCATTTAATTTAAAATATTTCATTGTCCATATTTCCTTGATCCTCAAATACCGTTGCCATTCACATAAGCGTACAGGCTCTGTGAAAGCAGTCAGCTCGGTTTGGCTTACTGAATTTTCCTGATGGTTGGGATAGAAACTTGTTCATCGTAAGCTGATGTTCAACAGCACTCACTGAACCCTGAGCAGGCTTTATGCACATTATTTCTACACATTGGAGTCATGTAACCATGCCCTTTGTGCTGACTTTTCCTCACTTGCAATTCCTAATGTGACATCTCCGGGGGTCCACACAGTCTACACAATGGGCACCGAAGGAAATCCCAGTGAAGGCCTCCAGGCCACCATTCCCTTTCCCAAACAGCTTAGAAATTTAATATTAACAAATATTTCTGCTCTCCATTTCTCTGGCTACACTGATTTTGTCCCTGGGAGTCATGACTGTGAGATATTACCTTAACATTGTCCTCCCCCTGAAGATCCCAAGAGCTCGTTATGGGCTCCCATTCTTTATGCCAGAGCAGCACAGAGAAGCGGCAGTTCACTAGGGATGCAAGTCCTGATGCGCTGAGCTCAGAGCACCATTATGGAAGTGCACGAAGCTTTATAGTCTCACCTCCTTAGCTTCTGCTTCTGGCCAAACCCCAGTATGTAGCACGGCACGAGCCTTTGGAGCATCACTCGGGACCAGGCAATGGAAACGTTCAGTTTCTGAATAGACTCTAAATCCTCTCACACCAAAACACATCTCCAAACGACTTGGGGCGCTGACAACCCCTGGCCCTGGGATGCTTGCTTTAGTAAGTGGATTTACAATGGCATCTAGCTGCACTAACGCATTTGCTTACTGTCTGTGGCTGCTTCTGAACACTAAGTGCAGCGCAAAGTCTCCGACGGCAACCGTACCATCCACACACGCTGAAAAGCGTTATAATTTGCTCTTGGCAGAAGAACCCTGCCAACCCACACTCCACTGTGCAACACGGGCTAACAAGAGACCACAGAGTTTTCCACATTTACCTCCACAAGCAGGATCTTTTTGATTGAGTATTAAGAAAGCGTTGAAGGATTTGGAAGCACAGATGACTTTAACTCAGGAAACTAAAGCGTTTAAATTAATTTTGCAAAGCTAGTAGTAAAAGTTAAAATCAGGAATCATAAATATAGAAGTTATGTGAAAAACCATAGTGATGGTGAATGTATTCTACAAGTTTTTTTTTTAAAACCATATGCATCTTATCAGAAAGGGGATTTTAGAAGATGATTAGATATGAACCCAATGAAGGAATGAATGGTAGTACATGACACTGGGAAGAAAGGTGAGCCTGTGATGCATGAGGCTGATGAGTTGAAACGAGGGGCATAAAGAGATAAAGAGTTACACCCATTGCTTCTCTGTGTCTACTAATTAAAATTCAGCATGCTAACAGGAAGGCTGAACTTAGGGCCGTTCACTCACTCCATCAGCATCACTGTGCGAGCACAGTAGAGAAACCTCAGTCACACATAGAAGGTGAGCACAAGATGGTCTCTGTGGTGAACCTGTGTGGGCAATAACTAAACTGGAAGAGCTTACCAGGTCAGGCAAACACTAATAAGAACAAATCAGCATTTCTGCAGTCTGTGAGAACCGCTCAGAGCTGAGCATGAACCGGGAATCTGTAAGAGGGAGCACTCTAAGAAACAAATTCTCCTCTGGGAAATGGGAAGCTAGCGAAGCTCTAGGAAGACAGCCCAGCACTGAAGCCAGCAGGTAGGGAGCTGAAGACATAAGTGTAAGACAATATGGAGGCGGCAAGAGAGCTTGAGAGACCATCATAACACTGAGGAAGCAAGAAACGGAGACTGCTTGTTCGTTTCCCGGCCATCCAGACCCCAACACAGAAACTATGTTAATTGCAACACTGTTCGGCCAATTAGCTCAGGCTTTTCACTAACTAATTCTTACGTCTTAAATTAAGTCATTTCTATTCATCTGTGGATTGGCACGAGGCTGTGGCTTACTGTTAAGGGTCCAGCGTCTGTCTCCTCTGTCAGCTTCATGGAGTCTCTCTGACTTCACCTACTCTCTCTATACATCTCTGTTTGGATTTCCTGACTGGCTTTACTCTGCTAAGCCATTGTCCAAAACAGCTTTATATATTATCCAATAAAAGCAACACATATACAGAAGGACATCCCACATCAGAAGAGGTTCAAGAACAAGTCTGATATCCAATGAGAAGACAACTGAATGCCCCATGTATATGGAATGATCTAGAGTCTAGGCGTCTAAACTTACTTTAGGATTTAAAGCTAGATGAAAAGTCTAACTGAGGTTGTTTATTTGTTTTGTCATTAAAAGGAAAACAGATTAAATATACACTGTGCCTTGGTAGTGGTAATTTTAGCAGAATTTTAAGAACCCTCTTAAGTGGACCCATTCTTACTGAATAAATAAATAAATAAATAAATAAAAATAAAAACAAATTGTGCCTCTTTCTCCCTCAGCTCCCAAATATATATGTCCCTTCCCAACACAGACAAGTTGGCCAGCACAAGCCCTCAAACAAAGCTCTCAAATGGTAATGCAGAAAGGGGCTACCCATCTGGTCCTTTCTCATGAACTTGGGATGTCTAGAAGACACAGAGACAGCAAAAAAACAGAAATAAGATTAAAACACATTTGAATGAATCATCAAATCTTGCCTTTCTGGGAAAAATTTGTGGGATTTTTGGAAAATAAAATATTAAATCACAGTACATAACACGGGTTTTTAAGAACATCTTCACACATTATATGAAGGGGAAGGTATTTTTACTAAACTGAGAAATGCCAAACTTCTATACAGACTGAACTTCTAACTGAAGGGATTCATGGGACCATCAGCTTCTACCCAGGAACTGGCAAAATCTAACACTAGCATTATAGAGTTGGGATACTGGGAGGTGCTGATGCATGCCCAGAATTCTCTAGCATGGGTTTTGGAAGAGAGCAA